TTCCATGCAATTCTTTTCTCTTCGTCGTTCCTTCAAATTATGAGAAAATTTTCTACTTAGTATATGCACAATAAAATGGCAATGCACTGAATGTCTCATATAAGCCTTATGCTAGGAAGAAAAAAGATCGGTTGATTAAATATACTTATATATTGTCATGTCATTTCCTCGTCTCACCTCAATGATGTTGATTCATGAAAAATAATTTGGTCAAATTTGGTGAATAGAGAGACGACAGTAAAATATGTCTAGATCTCAATTATTGTGTAAAGATTCAACTTTCCACCTTAAATATAACTCTAATATGGAACTTGTTTGACAAAACAATTGATTGCAAGTATCACTAGAGTTTAGAAGGATCCGAAGTCTGAACCATGCATTACACATACCGTCTCCCTGGATCCATGAGAAAATAATGTCCTTCAGCTATGAGGGCTCGTATGTCACCATTATTAAAGATGTTAGAACTGGCAGCCATGTTTCAAAGATGTTAGAATTGTCATCATTATTAAAACTAAAGCCTTTCTTGATTTATATCAATACATTCACGATCCAACAAACTAGATGATTTTTTGGTGAATAGGAAAATATCTTTTCTTTGATTTAATGAAGCAATAAATTGTCAGTGCAAGTGAAGGTACAAAGATTGGATGTCTGCAAGTCCAGAATTATTCTTCACCATGCATGCATACATGCATACCTATATAATAACTCAGGACCCAGCATTTCCTATTGCATAAAAATAGGGTCCAGATTTCTAACAACTCAAATTGGTGGTAAAGCATTTCTAACCTGATGCCATCTATTGATTTCAAGGGTTATTAGGTAGTAGACGCAACTCCAAAATCACACAATTGCACACTTGATTAAACAATATCAACAATTTCGATAATTTGCACAATCTGAAAAGCCATGTGAAATTAGCTGCATGATAGCTGATGGCCAATATAACGTCATATGATTTTTGAAAAGCCATATGAATTGTGAGGTACATACCTGCTCCTTTAGCTGATTCCCCAGTTTTTTCAGCTTTCACATCATCCAAGTGCTCTTGAACACAAGGAAGAAGATGATCATTAAGTGCTCCTGATTGATGTAGTCTTTTGCAAGCCTCCAGGCATGCAAGCTTTTTTGCTACATGTGAATTTTGATTAGCTGGACCAACTATTGTCTGAATTGCAGCATTTGGAGGCAAAGTTATTGTGCACTCATAGTACCCGCCATCCAAAGTGAACCTGAAAATTGGTTTGGGAGTGAAGTACCTAGATCAATGATACAACACAACAGTTAAGAGCTCATGGAAAGGCTCATAAACTATATATATTTACTCTTTTGTGCAGAAGAAAATTTACATAGATGTCACTGGGTAGAAAACATACTTGTCTCTTGGAAGGTTTTGACAATATGTATTTATGAGACTGACACTAGAGTCAGCAGTAACACTTGCTCCAGTTGAATCAACATAATAAGCACCTAAATCTTCATTAATAGACACTATAGATACAAGGGAGTCTTGGTCTCTGTTTAATGCGATGTCAACCGTTGAATGCTTATTCTTGATGATATCAAATAACAAATCTCTTTGTTGCAAATTCCCACTGCAAAAGATTAAAGCTTATCAAACACTAAGAATAAATTATACAAAAAACCTATTTGAAAGTAAGGCTGAAAATTTAACAAATACTTGAGACAGTTGAGAGTCTAAAAGCCATCTTCTTAGGTCCAAATGATTCCACTAAACCCAAGCAACAGCAAATCCCACTAATGGAGTCCAAAAATAGTCATTTTTGTAGACTAAATTGAAACACTGCAACTAACATCTGTTTATATTTCAGAAGCACAAAAAATACTTTTTGCGCTTCTGAAATCTTTTATTAAGCCCTCAAAAAATTGAAAATGCCTTTCATATATGTATTGGGTCCTGTCATGATCTGAGAATATTGTAACTAGAACCTTGGCTTACAAAAAAAAATCAGAGGGAAAATGCTTGCAAAAGATGCTTGCGAAGAATACTTTGCAATAAAACTATATGAAAGATTATATGTTTGCTCAGATTTATTTTGGAAATTTCATCAACCAAAATAAAATAAAGTGTTAGTAATGAAAAAAAAAAGAACCAACTGCCACCATAAAAAGGGATGAGCATATGAAGACCAAGCTCTGAATACTGCACGAACCGGTCCATACTGCTATTTGCAGGTCTGATGGCAAAACAGCATGTGGTCCAACCCTTTTCTGCCAGTTCAGTCTGATTCAATCCTTTTCAGGCAGTTTGGCACGACCCTTTCATATCTTTTTTATTTAGGGTTATCGCATGGGGTCTCGCCTCATGATGCACCCTCTAATATTTAGAGGCTGCATATTTTTTAGTATTGGAAGTAAGCTATAGACAAAATAAAGCTGTGATATGTGCTGATAGGCATCAAAAGAGTTACATAAGCTTATATATAAGAAAAGGTGCAGGACGACACACAGAAGATAAATTATATTATAAGCAGCAGGATCATTGTACCGTTCAAGCATGATAACGTAATGAGAACCAGCTTGTCGAGCTCGGCCATGAGACTGAATGTAACTACGAGCTGTTTTCGGCAAATCAAAACGGATTACACATGAACAATCTGGCACATCGGTACCCTCTTCAGCGACATCAGTGGTAAATAGTAAATTTGCCTACAAAAACAAATTATGTATAGTTGCGTTTATTATCCAGAGTAGTCACTGAAACATTGATAAAGAATATAATATACATTTCAGATACCTTCCCTGAACGAAAGGAATCCAGAGTATCCTTTTGCGTTTTTGGGGTTAGTGCATCAACTGAAGAAGACCCTCCAGCCAAGTATGACACAGTGAAATGTGATAAAAAACAAACTTTCTTAATAAACCTTTCCAAAACTTTAGCAGTAATATTTCTTTCAACAAAGATGAGGCAGACTACTTGGCTGGGCATCCTGCAGAAAAAATAAAGAGTTGATTGCAGTCGACATTACAAGAAGCAGATTAAAGTAGGAAAAGTTCTCCCTTACCCAAGAGACCGAATGATTTGAATAAGTTCATATAGCTTTGAAGAGATGTAACCCTTTTGTACAGCCGCTGCACAATCATTTTCAGTCTTCAAAAGTAGTTCAAAATCTGAAAATTTCCCAGATGCAAACAGTCAGATCAATGTTGAACATGCTTCAGTGTAGTAATTAGACCTTGGCTTTGTTTCCTATCTACTATCAATGTTTGCCACTTCATATATGATATAATACAGATTCTTGGATGGATGATATATAACAATACGTGGTATGGCCACCAATGTGGCTTAATACCGGTATCCAGGTGTACCAGTATAGTGCAGTCAGTAAAAATTGATAACTGCCTTCATTGAACCAGTTAATGATCCCAGGTCAAAGGTAATCTAATAATCTGATAAGTTGCAGCACTGATGCAAGCAATATATAAAATGCACCAGTATGTGACAGATTGAAACTGATCGACCATTGTTTTACATCAATGTACTAATTAAGATTTAGAAAATTAAACCAATACAGAAACTTGAAATGTATATTCATGATAAAATTCAGCATAATTTCTGATCTCCATTTGCTTCATTAGGCTTGTCCATCTTCGCCAGATGAACATGGCATAGTTAACATATGATTTTTTTAGTTGCAAGATACAAAGAAAAGCATCATAAAATTGTTCAGTCTTCACTCTTTGTATGGTTCAACACATGGTTTGCTGTCTCGCACCAACAATGGGTACCGATCCCTGGTCAGATGGGTGTGTACCAATCAATACTGGTGTACCATGTGTGGGTACACTGGTACAAATTGGTGATTTAAAAAATCAGTTGAAAAATCCAAAAATAAACCATTTGTGGTTTTTTTCCTAATTTCTTTGTATATAAATTAAAATTAAATAAGAATAAAGTATATATATAAGTCATAAATCCATAGAAATTCTAAGCTATAAGGATCGAAAATAGAAACTCTGTCTTATTGGATTCGTCGAGGAAGAATTATGTCACATGGTCCTAAATTATCCCTAATGACCACTAAGTGACTATAAGGAACAATAAGCATACTATAATTATCCCTAATTTGGTCTAAAAGTAAGAAAAATCTTAATTAGCTCTAATTAGCCTTTAATCACATTAAAGGCAAGAAGAAGCCTTGAATCCACCAATAATTTCATAATCGAACGATAATAACCATGTTGTAATTCGCACTAAATTACCACTAGTTACCCCATAATCCGGTGTAAATGTAAAAAAAAATTCCTTCTTTTTCCTTAATTATGATTATTCTTCTTAATCATACAATAATAAGCCTCTAAAGAGCTGTAATACATGGTAGAATGAGCTATAAAATCATGTAAGAAGTAAAAACACGGTGCAATATGCTTAAATTCCTTAATTCCCACCCGTTAGACCTTAACTACGCTCAATCTACGTAACCATGAACTGAAAGCCTCTAACCCATTAAACATCTCGTAAATCATGCAAGAAGTCAATGCATAGTCAATATAAGCAAATTTTTCTTAGGTACCTCTTATTAGATCTTGATTAATCATTAGACCATAATCAATCAAGATTTACTAATATTCTTTACTCCAATTACATGAAATGATAAAGAAAACATAAAGAGAAGGTACATACTTTCAAATGAATACAAGTTCCACTAGACCTCATGTTTAAATCCATCTTTTATCCAAATCAACCTTCCAATTACCAACTAGACAAGTTTAAGAGTTTAGGTTAACAAAAAGAGTGGGAATGAGAATGAAGTGAACGAGAGTGAGTGAAAGAGGAGAATAACAGTCAAATTTTGACCTTACTGGGTGGTGAGGCATATCAACCGGTACACCTCACAAATCTAGTGTATCAAAAGGTACAATCTAGTCTGGGTTATGGTCAGCACTCAGACCCGCACGTATCGCACGTTTCACTCAGTTTCGGGCGTTATGGCATATTGCATGTTTCTCTCACACACACACACGCCAATTGCATTCAAATATTAGCATGACATATTAGCTTGCTAGCTAATATTAAAGAGAGGTACATACTAATATTCTTTACTCCAATTACATGAAATGACAAAGAAAACATGAAGAGAAGGTACATACTTTCAAATGAATACAAGTTCCACTAGACCTCATGTTTAAATCCAACTTTTATCCAAATCAACCTTCCAATCGCCAACTTGGGATAATAGACAAGTTTAAGAGCCTAAGTTAACAGAAAGAGTGATAATGAGACTGAGATGAGAAGTGAGCGAGAGAGAGTAAAAGAGGTTATAAGGAGGGGCTTTTATAAGCCCAAAAGAGCTTCCAATAGTCAAATCAACCATTAGGGACTAAAATGATAAATTCAGCCTGGTATCAGTTGAAATCTGACCATTACCAACTAGTATCAATCGATAACGATCGAATTTCGACTTTACCGGGTGGTGAGGCATATCAACTGATAAACCTCACAAATCCAGTGTATAATATGGTACAAGCTAGTCTGGGTTTCGGTCAACACTCAAACCCGCACGTATCGCATGTTTCATACAGTTTCAGACTTTCAGGGGTTACGACAATCCTTAGTTCAACATAGCATGTCTAACTATTATAACCCCCCCCCGCCCCCCCAATCAATAAATGGAATGCATTATTCATGGCAACATGGAAGTTGTACACCTGCATTGTCATATTCAAGGAAAATTATAGAACCACATAATCAAGTTATCAATAACCAGAGAACCACATAATCATTTATAGAACAAAATGATTAAAAGAATGATACAACAAAATCATTACAAAAATCAAGTATGAAACTGTGTTATAATACCTGCTGGCAATCTTTCTGCAAGTTTTTGCAATACTTCCTCAAGAAAAGATTTGCACTGAGCTACATTCACCATGACAAAGTCGTGACGATCAGTAGAATTTGAAGAACTTACAGCATCTATACAGATCTTAGTAGCCTGTTACAATTAGAATGGTGAAATTTTATAGGATCAGAAAAGAATGATACGATACAGTAAATAACAGAATCCTAGACACACACAAGAAAACGGATGCCTGCTCTATACGAGGGGTGTGGCAATTAGGATACCTCAATAGCACAGACTAGGCCTAGCTCATCCATGCAGTGGCAG